AACGTGCCAAAAGCATGATGATACATGCCGGATTGCCCAAATTTCTATGGGTTGAAGCTATCAACACTGCAGCTTACCTGATCAAACGTGGGCCCTCAGTTCCTTTGGATGGTCGAATACCAGAGGAAGCTTGGAGCAAGAAAGAAATAAACCTTTCACACTTAAGAGTGTTTGGTTGTATTTCTTACGTACACATAAACTCTGCTGAAAGAAGTAAACTTAATGCCAAGTCCAACAAATGCGTCTTTGTTGGTTACGGTGGTGATGAATTCGGTTACCGGTTTTGGGACTACGAAAATCGAAAGATCATCAGAAGCAGAGACGTTATTTTCAATGAAAATGTGATGTACAAAGACAGATCAACCGCAGAATCAAGTAATACCGAAGCTGAAACAAAGAAATTTGCTGAGTTCGAGGAGATTTTTGGAAATGATGTTCAGATCAGTCCTGAAGCAGTTCAAGAGGAAGAACCAGGCACACCAGAACTGAGACACTCCTCCAGAATTCCTAAACCAACCCAACGGTATTCGCCTTCTTTGCACTACTTGTTGCTGACTGACAATGGTGAACCAGAGTGCTATGATGAAGCGATGCAGGTGGATGATTCAGTCAAGTGAGAGTCTTCCATGAAAGATGAGATGGACTCGCTTATGTCAAATCAGACGTGGGAATTAGCTGAATTACCACCAGGCAAGAGAGCGCTCCATAACAAGTGGATTTACAAGATCAAAGAAGAGCACGATGAGAGCAAACGCTACAAAGCAAGATTGGTAGTCAAAGGTTTTCAGCAAAAAGAAGGTATTGACTACAATGAAATTTTCTCTCCAGTCGTGAAACTGTCTATAATCAGACTGGTGTTGAAAATTGTAGCTGTAGAAAATTTACATCTTGAACATTTAGATGTAAAGACAGCTTTCCTTCATGGTGATTTGGAGTAAGAAATCTATATGAGGCAGCCAGAAGGTTTCATAGAGGCAGGCAAGAAAAACCTGGTATGCAGGTTGAAGAAGAGCTTGTATGGTTTAAAACAAGCTCCCAGACAGTGGTACAAGAAGTTCGATAGCTTCATGGGTAGCAGTGGTTTTACCAGATGCCAAGCAGATCATTGTTGCTACATCAAGAGGTTCGACAACAGCTTCATTATTTTATTGTTGTACGTTGATGACATGCTCGTTGCAGGTTCAGACATGCAAGAGATTATAAACTTGAAGCAAAAATTGTCGAAGCAGTTTGCTATGAAGGATCTGGGTGCTGCAAAGCAGATTCTTGGGATGAGGATCAAGAGAGACACAAAGTCGGGGACTTTGATGTTATCACTGGCTGAGTACATCAACAAAGTACTCTCCAGGTTCAACATGCAAGATGCTAAATCAGTAAGTACACCTTTAGGTGTTCATTTCAGACTCTCCAAAGACCAATCACCAAAGACGGAGGAAGAACGTGCACACATGGTGAAGGTGCCGTATGCCTCAGCAATTGGAAGTCTGATGTATGCCATGGTTTGTACCAGACCAGATATTGCTCATGCAGTGGGAGTTGTTAGCAGGTACATGAATAATCCGGGCAAGGTACACTGGGAAGCAGTCAAATGGATCCTCAGATATCTGCGGGGTACCACAGACAAAGCACTTTGTTTCAAAGGTGGAGATACAATACTGACAGGCTATGTAGATGCTGACTTAGCCGGAAATGTTGACATCAGAAGGAGAACTACAGGTATGTCTATACTCTAGGAGGAACTGCAGTGAGTTGGGTTTCTCAACTACAGAAGATAGTTGCTCTCTCCACAACTGAAGCAGAATATGTCACTATTACGGAAGCCAGCAAGGAGATGGTTTGGCTCCAAAGTTTCTTGGAAGAGTTAGGCAAGAAACAAGAAAACAATATCTTGTATTGCGATAGTCAAAGTGCTATCCATCTAGCAAAGAATCCGTCTTTTCATTCCAGGACGAAGCATATACAATTGCGATATCATTTTATCCGGTCTCTTCTGGAAGATGGGATTTTGAAACTTGAAAAGATCAGTGGAGCTCAAAATCCAGCAGACATGTTAACAAAGACGGTGACTACGGACAAACTGAAGTTGTGTTCACTTCATTGGCATGCTAGAATAAAAGACCAGAAATACTGCTGCATCGATCGAGGTGTGAAGACATATTAAAATAAGTCTTCAAGTGGGAGATTGTTGGTCAAAGCAGCACATGGGCTGCAAAATTATTAGTAGCTGGCGGCTGCTTGAAAATAATAATAATAGGGGGCTAAATTTTTTATTATTTTGTAATAGGGATAATTACAAAATTGAGTCATTGAACTTTAGGGTATTTACAAAGATTAGTCCCTAAGTTTCAACTATAAATACCCTAGCTCATTTAGCTTCAAAATCATCCCAAAACATTTCTTTCTTCTTATACAGAGAGTTTTCTTGTGAGTGGTGAGTGTTTTGTAAACACCTGTAAATTTTCTCTCTTAGTAAAAGATCTGCAGCAGCCGGAGACGTAAGCACAATTGGCTGAACTCCGTTATCAATTTTCGTGTATTATTTTTTCGCTTTTATTTCGCATTCTCACTAATCTGGTTATAGGGGAATTACTTGTACTCGGTTTATTTCCTAATATACCATCCTTGAGAAAACCTGTTCGAATCTCAGGACCCTGGGTGGAGTTTTCACGTATGAATAAATAGTTGGGTTCTATCAGCTCAGCTTTATACCAGTGAAGAAGAATATTACGTAACTAGCATCAAATCAAGTTTATATAACATACGAGTTACGAAGATTTTTACGTTTCAGCCATTGCTGGTTCTATAACACAAACATACAGTAGCTATACAACGGTAGATCCAGAAATATTTTTAAGGTGAACACACATGTTAAAAATATAAAATTTTTAAATAAGTGGGCAAATAAAATTCAGGTGTACACCATCAGTAAAATATGTAATTTATCAAAAAATTCAATTACAAATAAGCACGTGCCCACCTTCTGGAAGCTCTAATCCCCACCACTGTGTATATATCAGCATATATCTCCTCTTTCTTCTACTCAAGGATGGATTGAAGAGGGAAAGTAGGGGCAGTATCTCTGAAAATTTAAAATTATGATATATTTTAAATTTTTTATGAATTTTAATTAAAAATATTTTTATTCCTTAAAATTTATAAATACATTTTCTCCTAAAATTTTAAAAATTCTTCCACAAACATAAAATTATTCATCCCTTCTCTCTATCAACCCTCCGGCCATGCTTAAGTCACTCTAATCAACTAACGGTACTCGCTCCATTAAGTGAACCACTCAAAACCACCTCATCTCACTTTGTTCATTAATATTACTAATTTAATTGATTCGAACTAAGGATGATGAGAATGATGTTAGGATAACAATTAAATTTTCAATCAAATTATAATTTCGGTCCCTTTACTATGCTTAAATGCAGTATTTAGTTCTCCGCACATTATTATTTTTTTGAACAGCAGTTCTCTATACATTAATCTAAAATAATCTGGTCCTTTTATATTTATTTTTGTTCAGAATTCATTCTATTTTATAATATCATTAATTAATTCAAATAATTAATTGCTTTGACTATTTTGATTAAAAAGATTTTCTTAAAGCACCTCTCCCGACACGCACAAAAATACTTGTTAATATGATGAGTTGAGTGTCTTTAATAAAATATCCATGTTAACATTTCAATAGGAATAATTAATATAATTAATTATTTGAATTAACTAATGGTCTAGTAACATTATAAAAGTGTGCCCCAAAGGTTAAATGGTATTGGTATCGTCTTATCAAGGTTTGAACTCTTCACCTCCCCCAATGATCAAATTATGCCAAATTATAATAAAAGGGCTCAATTTTAAATTCAAATATAGTAAGAGGATCGAAACTAAAATTTGACCGAGATATACTACGTATATGCTAGTAATCTGAAATGTAGGAGATAGAAGATTAGGGAAGGAACATATTTCTTGAAAGTTCTGATTGTTCAAAATTATTAATACGTAATGCTAAAACACTACGATTTGGATCTGATTAATGTTGATGTTGAAAGACAAAAAAGAGAGATTAATTAGAAGCGGATAAAAGTTGAAAAGATGATATCGGAAATACGTACGCACCTTGGTATCGAGCATGACGGCGCAGATGATACCGGTACTGATCATGGCAGCCCTGAGATTATCAAGAGTCTCTTGATGGTAGGCGTGAGATCCATGAGAGAAATTGAAACGAGCGACGTTCAACCCAGCTCTCAACAGCTTCTCGATCATAGGGACGGACCTGCATGAAGGCCCCAGCGTGCATACGATCTTCGTCTTCGGCTTGTTCTCCATTCCAGGTCCTGTACTTGCAGTATTATTCATTTTTCTTCTCCTTTTTTTGTATTTATTTAATTATTTTTATATTGAAGCAAAGTATAAGTATTTGTATGAGGAAATCAAAACTGAAGCAGACCCCGTTTTCGTCTCCCTATTTCCCGGTGTAGAACTACTAGCACAAGTGTAGAACAAATCAAATGAAGTTTGATCTTTCCTCCAGGAATTCAGTTTATACACGAAAGGACGACCACTTGATTTATCTATTTATTTGTAAAATAATATATATGTAATATGACGAAGTAATTATGGATTAATTGAAACTATCATCTTTATTTTTTATTTACGTTTTTTGTTATGATGATAAACAATTGACGAGAGAGAATTTTATTATATTAAAATCCTATTCGTTTAGATTAATTTATACTTAAATCATTAAATATATTTTAAAATTTCCAATGAGGTTGTGTTTTCAATCATAAATAAAATTGTCCCATTCACAGTAAATCATATATGCTCATTTCACTTTTAAAAATAACAAATATTTGATTTGAGTTTAACTCGATTTAGCATTGTTGTTGATGTAATGTATAAGAGGACATGAAATCGATCATGTTTAATCGTTCAATATCCATAATGCTTGAGATCCTTTACTCTACCAGTTCAAAAAAAGGCAACATTTCGCATTTCCTCAACATCTTCTATCCGAGCGGATGGCATGTCAAAATTAGTATCGAGGCTGGTCAAAGTTCATCATGTCCCTGAGATTGTTCTTGGTTCATCACATCTAGTTTATGTTGCAACTCCTAACACAAATAAGATTTGCCGACCTTTTTAGAAATTACAGAGCAGAACTGACATCAATAAATTCATTGTCGTATCGGCAGATTACCTTTAGCTTATCTTCCACGCAAACAGCCGGGGTAGACAGTGAAGCTACGTATCTGCCGTACAAACCAAGTGTTAGGACGAAGACACGACCATGCATGCACGGGCAACAGAGAGAGAGAGAGAGAGAGAGAATCTTACTCGCAACGGCTGGGTTCATTGACATTAGTTATCTCATTTTTCAAACCGCATCTCAATTTCACCTGGAAGGATGAAGAACGTGTGTAGAATAACAATATTATTCATTATTTTTGTTTAACCCAAAACTCACTCCGGCAGAAGTCTACAATAAAATTTAAAGACAACCATTTCGAAATTGAACAGCCCACTTAGTCGAAGAAATACTTGTGGAGATGAGTTCCTCTAGTAACAACAAACCAGGACATGAAATCACATAACGCAACAGTACCTTCATACTTCTATCAGGGCCATTCCAGCACCCATCTCCATTAGAAAATACCATCATCCTGTATGAGTTCTCGAATTTGTCCCAACTCCTAGTAATAACATATGGATAGGAAAATTATAAATATTCAGTTTGAAGAAAATCCACATGCTCAAAGGCTTAAAAACCTACAAGCCTCCATCCATGAATGCAACAAAGAAGCATATTACTCCTTGATTATATAGTCCTATGTAACTCAAGTTCAAAGGCAGAGACGGATGCAGGATTTTATGTTAGGGGCGAAAGCATATTACAATAGAAAATACAAAGAAAATATCTAAAATATACGAGGATGTTCAATACGTGCCCGATACAGATAAGTTCATCTTTCTTTTTTTCCATATATCTCAAAGGGGATGGACCACCACTCCCATGTTTATTACATGTTGGACATGTGTTCTCCAAAGCATATACAACAAACATGGACGAATAGTCCAAAGTTTCTCCAAATAATGGTTGATTGGAAAGCTAAGATATCCAACTCTAAACAATTTTCCATCGGCAAGAATTAAATAATTGTTGATCTCAAAATTAAGAAAGATTTCAGGTAACATATCCTATCCCCATTATCATTCAAATGACATCACAAGTTTTCACTGTGCAGAAAGGACAAGAAGGATCCAATCAAAGAGAGAACATAACTGCAATAAACCTACCCCAAACGAGTTGTTGTGTAGCCCTCTTCCTGAGAAGCTTGTTTGTATGGACAAACTTTGTAAACATACCTGAAGCCAAAAGTCTTAAGTCGTTAAAGGTGAAACAAATGGAAATACAATCTATATTACAGAGTAAGTAATAACTAAACAAACTACTACAACAAGATCGCAACTTATTCTGCTTGATCTCAAAACAGTGACCATAGAATGCATAGAACTCCTTCTCAGGTCCTGTAATTTTAAACCGAAGTTCAGTTTCTAGAGGCCAAAGCAACAAATTCAATGTTCACTGCTTAGACATTGAAACAATATATTACATACCAAAATCATGTTTTAGCTTTTGTGTCAAACTTGATATCCTTGATTGTATTTTAGATAACTTGGCACTGGATTCATCGTATTCCTTGCATACACTAGCAGCCTCTGAACAAGACAGAATGGCTTTCTCATTTCATACACTCACTTAAATTTTCAGTAAACAGCAGTAGGAGTTCAGATTCTTCAGAATATACCTGATATGTTCACTGGAGTTTGAAACAAATTAAAGGTCTTTAGAATGTTCCAAAATGTTTGCTGTATCTTCTCCAACCAAGATGAGTTATACGAGGAAGTTGTATCTAACAACATAAATAAAAGTAATTAAGCCTAGGGATTGAATTTGCCCAGCTTAAAATGAAATATCGACTGGAAAAGAACAGCACACCTGACAAGTCAGGTTCATCATAGTTGTATGGAGTCGTGTCATCATGACTCTCCTCTTCATAACTTTCATCTAGTTCATCATCTATATTATCATATTTTCCGGTGGCTTCATCAGCATCGGAAGCATAGTGATCATATTGCTCATCATGTGTGTCCTTGGGCATCTCTTCATGGCTGTCATTGGCTTGATCTTTTTTGCTACCTTGATTCTCGGTACTATCCCCAGTCCAACGGGAAGCAACAATGCGACCTAGCTCTTCCCTCGACAATCCCTCAGAAATTTCAGATGATGCTTCACTCTCCTGCAATAATATAGACAAACAAAGATGAGATACAAGAAACTTATCAAGCCACGCATGACAAAATATTTGTGCTGTTTCTTGTTCATAAAAATATACCCAAATGGAGTAGAATGTAATAAAGTAAAAGCTTCATACATTTAAAGCTGCAAATAGAATACAACCAAAGGTTCCTTTTTCCCTTTCATTTACATACCCTTTCTTATACCTCATAACAGAAAATTACTGAAGTTGTTCCAAGAGAATACAAAACCAGAAAAGAGATAGCTTTACGTCAATGCAGGATAAAGTTTGATAATTAAAACCAAAAGCACCAGCTTAACCTCTTTCCATAAACCTTTCTTTGAAGAACCAGGCTACTTGCCCCACCAGTTTTGTCTCAAATAATTGTACTCCATGACACGGCAGATAGTTACTGGACAAATTCAACTGTGGGATCTATAAATTCATTGGCAAGTCACAAAAAGATTATTGCCACATCAGGAGTGATGAAGGAGAGGGACAAAGTATTTTTCCTTTGTTAAAACCTTACTTCATGATTTGATCTCTTTCTTCTTTCTAAGCTATTCATGAGACCTTAATTTCTTTATTATAATACATTTTGTTATATTTTTTAATCAGTGTAACCATGATCATTGGGTTAAATTAGCTATTCTACCAAACTTGTCCAGCAACATTTTTCAACATCTTATTTCCAAAGAGCAACTTAATGGAGCTTATCTCCCTAGTCCAATTTGATAACAATTTCTTTATCAAATTATAGCATGGCATCATATAGAAGCTTCTTCAGAACAGGGAAATATGGTGAGTAAAGAAACTTACTGCTTTCTTGTCTCCATCAGGTGATATTTTGCTTCCAGCATCATGAGCAATTTCACTTGCAACAGAAGAAACATCTGTGTGTGTTGGTGAAGCAATTTCATGCTTATTTTCCAAGACATGCTACATAAGAAAGTTCAATTGCGTCATGGTCCAGCATAGAACTATGGTAGACAAACATTTGGAGATTCTATGAGGAAGAATAGGCCATTATAATGTCTCAGCTTACCTCCTCTACCATACCAACTGGAGCGACTTCAATTTTGGAAGAAGAACTATTTTCAACTTCTGCTGCCAGATCAGCATCACTGTGTTCTCCTTTGACAGCCTGCCAAAGGGATGATAGTGACAGACAATAAAATCACAACCAGAAGAAACAAAATGTTCAATGTGACACCTAAAGGGACAATTAAAACAACCAGTCTGACCTCATTTGAAGAAGAATCCTCCACATTACCAATTATATCATCAAGTTTACTTTCTGTGGGTTTGTTTTCACTGCTAGTTTCTTCCTCATCAGCTTTCCCTTTTTCCTTTGACGCTTCCTCTGCTTCTCTTTTTTCTTTTTCTTCCTTCTCTTTCTGCAACCTTGCTTTCTCCTCTGCTTTCTCTATCTGTTCTTTACGTTCTGCACAAGTAAAAGATAAAGAAAATGGACCCTTAGGTCAATCTTTATAACAACATTGGATGAAAATTTGATCATTTGAAGCCCATGTATACGCAATATGGGTACTATACGGAAAAATAAAATATCTAATGCTGAAAATTGTATTGTGAATTCTTGATACCTGGCTTAGAATTAAGTTCAATAAAATTCTACTTGGCTTTATGCCAAAGGGATACTTCATTTCTATATAGAGAGTAATCACAACAAATCAAATAACAAAGCATAGAAGAAACTTTAGTGTGTACAATAAACTAGCCAATAGTGAAAATGAATAATAAATCATAATGAAGAAAGAAAATCTCCTAAACATTTTTCTTTTCAATGCATTAGCACCATATTTGTAACGAAAAATAACAAAGAAGGGGGGGAAATCACATATAAAGAATGGATAATGTATTTTGAACAAAGGAATTTGTCATAAAATGGAAGGGCAAAGAGACTATAAGTTAGTCAGCCGCTTTCTTCTTTTTATTCTTTTTAAAAAAACAAATCCATTGGTCAGTTTATGAAACAAAATGGGAAGTCTTTTTCTGCTACACCTGCATAATGACTAGATTAGATAACAACAGTGCTTTGAAGTCATAACAAATACCTATTGAGTTAGATGAAAGTACAACATTGGTACAATCACAATGAAAATAGGATGAACATCACGTAATCTTCAGAATAAAGTGTTACCTTTAAGCTCTTTACACGGCCCTTCAATATCTTCTCCTCATTTTTAAGCTTTGTTAGTTCAGCTGCATCTTTGGCTATGGTTAATTTAGCCTTTTCAATTTCCACCTTTCGCAGAGTAGCCCCTTCCTTATATATAGCAATTTTCTTGACCAACCTATCTCTAGCCACTTTGCCATCTTCCCAACACGTATTGGGGCACTTCACTTTACCATCATACTCGTCACTCCCATCACAACAATCTGGGTATTCGAAACCAGTGAAGAGCAGTTCAATATAAACAGAGAGTATGCGAGGATCAAATACCCGCCATTTCCATGGAAATGCAGTGAGGTTAGAACAGAGTAAGAACACTTACCACAAACACCATCATTCACTCTCGAAGAAAACAAGAGTTGCGGAATGTGTCCAGCGTTTTTACAATAGAACTTTGCAGCCGGGCAGGCCGATGTACCTAAGACATCAAATGAGAGTTAATAACGAGATGCCCCATAGCATAAATACCCATTAAAACAAAAAGGAAAACCGAAGGGAGAGAATACCAGGCTCATCGGTGCCGTCATGGCAGTCGCAGAAATCATCATTGAGCTGAGATTTGGAGAATTTCTTGGATCCATCTTTGCAGCTAATTCTATCCGATGATGACTTGTAGTACTTCTCATCTAAATATCATTGGTAACAGATAGTGTCAACTCAGAGCATAATTACAAGAATCAACAAATTGATTTGAATATTGAAAGAAAGATGGAAAGACCTTGGGGAGAAATTCCGAGAAATGGGTCTTTGGGAGCAGAAGAAGATGATGGAAGAACTAAAGCAATGAAGAAGAGAATAAGAATGAAAATGAAATGTACTCTCATCTTCTACAATCCGATCGAATCGAAACCTAAACAAAATCACTCAGAGAGAGGCAGCGAGATACAAGCCTGCAACTGGGTCTGGACTCTGGAAGGAACGAGCGAGGCCGGAGCAGGCGTTTCGGGACTTCAATCAAAACGACTTGCCGATTTCTTAACATAGAAACGGCGTCGTTCGCGGTCGTTTGGCTTCAACTCTCTCTGCAAACTGAAATCTTTCTTGAATGGAAAATAAAATGGGCTCCAGATGCCCTCAAATTTTCGAAATAAAATGATTCTAAAACTTTTAGCACTTAATTAAATCTTTAGATTTTATTTTAACAATAACAAATCAATTTAATTAATCAATTTAATGGAATATATTAGAATTATAACGTATTTAAAAATATAGAGAAAATGAAACAGTAATTACTAAAAATATTAAACATAAATGTATAAAGAGAAACAAAACATTCCCCTAAGAATAATGTCTTTTATTTAAAGAGTTGATTAACTTTTATAAAAAACTCTTTGTTTCTATCGAATGAAATATTTTATGAAGTGATAAAATAATGGTAACCAAACTAAATTATCAGGTATATTTTTTTGACTACACAATTCTGATTATATCAACAAATAACTTTTTATCATGGATCATCGAAAAACAATTAGAAACTAAATATTGTGACGGTCTTTATTCGATTACCAAAACAACTGTGCTACAAGAGCAGGAAAAAAACGTGTCACGAAAATAAAGATTCTTATTCAAATTTTTTATTAAAAAAATCAATAACAAAAAAGAAAACAAAAAACATAGTATTAAAAATAAAAAATAAAAATAATCACTTACGATCGACAACTACTATTAAAATTAATATATCATTAATTAAACAAAAATTAATATATCATTAATTAAACAAAAATTAAAATAAATAAGGCGACACAGAATAAGTGAAAAAAAACTTAGGTTAAAGAAAACCCTAATCGAGAAAGGCAAGTGATATAATGATCAATATAACATGTTCTTTTTAATTTCACTTAAGTTATCTAAAAAATTAAATTAAATAAAAATGGTCAAAAGATTGTATTGACTCGTGAGATTGTGAGTTGGGCAGAGTCGGGGGCGTCCCAAATGGGAAAATTGTGCTTTAATCCCCTTACAATTTTGAAGTTACAATTTAATACAATTGCACCCCACAAAACTGAGTGAAAAAAAAGGTTTTCTAAATGGATAGGGAATAGGCAACAAAATTATTCACCACCAGTACATTAAATAATAATTATTAGATTTATTATAATAATTGAGTTCGTTGACATGATATGTTTTTATTTTGATGCAAATAACTAGTTTAATTTAATTTTCTAAAATAAAAAAAGAATAGTGATTCTACTTGAGATGGAGGTAAGTGGGCTGGGACTTTACGTAAAATGCAGGTCCATTGTAATAAATTTATAGTTGATAGTTGGCATTCAAAGTTCACAGGTTCTCCTTTGAGATAGGTTATATTTATATTTTTTTGTCATTTCGATTCTAAGATTTTGTTTTGATTAATTCAGATCGATTCGTGTCTTACACTTGATTTTAGTAGGTGAATCTCCCAGCAAGTATTTTCTGCATACACAATAACTCGAACTCGATATCTTACTTAAGTTATATCAAATTACTTACCACTTAAATTAATATATATTGGTAGATAATTTATAATTAAAACGTGAACAAAACAATTTAAATCCCATACTTCACAACCCGTATAAGAATGGACGAAATCAAAAGTATTAGTAGGGACAGACATAGAATTAAAAATTGGAAGGATTAATATATATATTTGAAGAATGATATTTTATTAAATATTAATTTTAAAAGTTATGAAAAATAAAATTGTATTTAATTAATATTAAATTAAAAATAATTTAAATATCACTATACTTAAAAGATTTTAATAGGTTATAATCTCTGTCATTTTTAGTGATTTTGTGTCGTTTTCCCATGTAGTGTGTTTAAACTTTGGTTTTAACTGAAATGATCAATTCAGTCAAAGTTTTTTTTGGTTAATTGATGAGTTAATTTTAGATTTTATCGATTAATGATTAATAATTTTTTAAACTTCAATTATCGATTAATTATGTTATGAGTTAAATAATTAACAAAATTAATCGATTAACCAAAAATATTAAATATTTATTACATTATTTGTATATTATTTAGTCTCATGGATGTTCAAACGTTGGTTTTAATCGTATTGTCTGACCAAATTAACTAAAAATATTTAATATATAATATATATTATTTATAAATTTTGATTAATTTAAAAATCAATCGAATTAACTAAGCTTTATTTGTTTCGGTTAAATTTTTCAAAGAAAGATTAGTTCAATTAACTATTAAAGAAAAAAATCAATTAATAAATTTTAGATTATTTGATTCAATCCGTTAACCAACATTCCTAATTAAACACCCCTAATCCCTTGTATTAGTTTACTCAAATATATATCACATTTTAAATAATAATTGACTTTTTAGACATGTATATTTTTTATTTTTTTGTATAACCACGTGTATTTGATCTATTAATCGACTAATCCGGATTGGTACTACAGAAGCGATGACAACCCTCCCAACTCAGTTTGCTCCATTCGCAAACATCAAGATTCGAACCCCTAACCTTACTTAAGGAATCTAGGACATCATCCCACTAGACAAGTCAGTTGGTTATACATGTATAATTTAATGTTTGTGTATATATATTTATTAAAATTAGAGTTAATTACATCATACATCCTTTAAACTGCAATTTTCTTTTTAAATTAGTTTATAAACTTCTAAATATTTAAATTCCATCCCTAAATTATGATTATCATTCTAATGTTCATCCCAAAACTAACATTTTAGCTTCATCCCCAAATTATATCCTTCATTTTAAACTAGTCCCCAAACTTTTTCAACATTTCATTTTTCATCTTAAATTATATGTATATACTAATCACATTCCATGTTAATAAAATCAGTAGGTCAAACTATATTATTATATGTTTGAAAAAAAGTTTAGATTAAATTATGATTAAAACCAATTACATATTTGGATGAATTTGGAGATGAAATTGTAATATTTAAAAGTTTGAGGACCAATTTAGAATGAAGGTTATAGGTTGAGGATGAAATTGGAATATTTAAAAGTTTAAAGATTAATTTAGAATAAGAATCATAGATTGAGAATGAAATTAGAATATTCAAAAGTTTAGAGATTAATTTAAAATGAAAAATATAATTTGAATATATATGATGTAATTAACTCTTAAAATTATTATATAATAAAAATAGATGGAAGCGTGTTTCTTTTTATTTCCTAAGACATTAATGGAAGTAGTTGTGACCGGAAGGACGGTGAGGTATAAATGGGATGTCAACTGTCTCATTAAATCCTTTTTATCAAGTAGAGATGTTAGTGTCAAGGACCACGAGCCCACAACCAAAGTCTAACACAACATTAATCATGTGGTACGAAATTCAAATTTCAGAATAAATTTGATATTATAATTCCCATGTGCTAAATGGTCGGACATGTACGTAAAATATTAAGAAATTTATAAAGAAAATAATTCAAAATCACACATTTCGATTATTTAAATTTATGTTATGTTTTAAATTCTGTGGATTTTGATTCAAGTTTAAATTTAACTCAAAATTTAAATAATTTTTGTTGTTTTGAATCTAAATTAATTCACAATGCACTTAAAACATTAAACAAAATTTTATTTAAAATAGCATTTCCATCAAAGTTTTTTGCTATAAATATCTTTTAGTTATTATTTTTCTCATATGCAAGTAGTGATAATAGTATTTTTTTGTTGAAATTTTTGTAACAAAAAATAATATATATTTTAAAAATTACTTTATATTAAATGATAAAAGGATGCACAATGCTGGCAAACTGGCAATAGGATTTTGTGTATGTTTCTCCCAATTTTTGTAACAAATAAAAATTATCAGTCAAATGGACAGAAGTTATGTAAGTGCCGGACTGCCGGCACTTATAAACATACTTTCCTCGGAACAAATTCAACTTAGACCGTAGAAAATACAACAAAAGTTAAAAAGTTTAAAACGTGCAGGGACTGAAAGAGAAATTAAACCGTAGAAAAGACTAAACTGAAAAACCAACCTCTTTTCTCCTTCCTTACATTCGCTCACTGTATTTTATACTCCTTAAATATAGATAGAATATTAGTATACTCCTCCGCCTTTACTCACATACATGCTTTTCTCTTTCTTTCTTTTTTTGATTTGATAAACAAACATTACAGTAAAAGAAGATTCTGGAAAATATGGATTCGCCGACGTCGGCAGGGAATTCATCGACGACGCGGATCGTGGCTCTTTCCTCGATGATGGACTGGATAAGAGCTTGCGGTTTGGCCGGTGTTAGAATCGATAAAGAAGAGCTCAGACGGAGGCTCTTGATGCCTCAGTATCTACGCCTCGCGATGCTAGATTCCATTAGGAAAAAAGACGCCGACGGCGGTGATCACCATTTCCGTTCGCGTTCCTCTGACGGTGCTCCTATTCCTGAATCCCCTATGGTCGTTTTTATTAACTCCCATAGCGGTGGCCGTCACGGACCGGTCCTTATAGAGCGTCTCCAGGAATTAATCAGCGAAGAGCAGGTAATTGTTCTTTAAGTATATATTATTTATTTATTTAAAGACATTTATGTAAATTAGTTATAAAAAAATCATAATTGTGTAAATGTAGGTGTTTGACCTCCTCGATGTGAAACCGCATGAATTTGTGAGGTATGGACTAGCTTGCCTTGAGAAGTGGGCCAACAACGGAGATATCTGTGCAAAGGAGACACGACGGAACATTAGAGCTATAGTATGTTTCTACCAACTTCTTACAACTTGTAAACTTGCCTTCCCTATACATTTTTTTTAAAAAATGGGTTCTTTATAATGTTCCTAAGAGGATTTGGGATGTTCCCGCGTTAGTTACTCTTACATTCTGTAAGATTCAAAAAGTGATTTTTTTTCTAGCTTTAAAAGTAAATGATAATTTTTCAAAGTATTAAATTAAAAAAATAAAGCTTTTTCTCGCCCTGAGGGTTGACGTCCGTGATTTTACTTTTATGCATAACCTTTGGGTTAAAATTGGGGGTTTAATTGTATATTACTCATTGGTTTGATGTTATTCAAGCATTGCAAGCTGATGTCAGACGACTCTGTATGAATGAGCAGGTTGCAGGAGGTGATGGTACAGTTGGTTGGGTACTTGGATGTCTTGGAGAACTTCACCAAAAGGGCCGGGATCCGGTTCCTCCTGTAGCCATCATTCCACTAGGTACCGGCAATGACTTGTCTAGAAGCTATGGTTGGGTAAGATACTTTTAAATTTTAAGTTTTGATTTTGTTTGCTGGTTTATTTCTCTTGCTTTGTTGCCTCATGCTCTGAATGTTACTGCAGGGCGGTTCATTTCCTTTTGCTTGGAGATCGGCAATGAAAAAAACCCTGCACAAAGCTACTACCGGTCCAATTTGCCGCTTAGATAGGTTAGTATACATTTATCACATGATGATTTGTACTCTGTTTTAATGTTGCATACTGTTGGTTTTTGGGTGATCGAAATTTACTTCTACATTTGGTAATCTGCTATTGAGGAATCCGTGTATGTATCAGTTTCTTATGATAAGTAATGGGTTTGCATCAGACATTATTGTTATATAAATTTTACTTTGCTGCTATATCTGTGATTACTTCTTTGATGATACAGTTGGCATCTTGTGGTGCAAATGCCTGGCGGAGAAGTTATTGATCCTCCCCATTCTTTGAAGGCTACTGAAGAGTGTCATCTTGATCAGGTAGTAACCTCTGTTCTACTTTCATGGCCGTTTTTGAATCCTTTGAAGAAGATTAATAAAGATGTATCTGTTTGAGTTTGTAGAGATTGATTATTAAGTTATACGAGTTCACCAAATATAATTTGTGTTTAACACATTGTATGATATGTAAAAATGTGTTACGTCTATTTTTGCTTGTTACTATAAAACATATAAACAAGTTTCGGGAAAGAAAATACTACTTTTGAGGTCATAGATCAATATATGCTTTAATGATTTGATCCAATATATTGTACATTATCGAATGTAATGTGAATTATATAACTAAAACTTATTCCCAAACCTGGTTTAATATGGTTACTTAGAGATGAATTTTAGTGATTTTTTAATCGATTTTCTCTTGATTGTGATTTTATGATGTGAAATTTCAAATTCAAATGAAAATTTATGTCTGTGACTGTAGACTTTGGAGATTGAGGGTAACGTTCCTGACAAAATGAACTGCTATGAAGGAGTATTCTATAATTACTTTAGCATAGGTATAGTATATTGGTTTAATTTCATGCATGTGTAAATTCAGTTGCTGAGGAGCTGTACCTTCATGTAGAAACTAGATAATCTTAATATCGGTATGTTAGCTGCTACTTTATTTTAGAAGAAACAGAATAGAGTTATAGCATTTTTCCGTTTGGTTAAAACGTTAACATACCAAAATTAAGATTATTGAAAATGGCATTTGGTGGGGGACCATATTACTCCTACAACTTAGGACAACTCATTGAATCCTTGCTTATGATGTGTTTCTGTTCATTGTTGTTATTATCATTTTAACTCAGGAATGGATGCACAAGTTGCTTACGGGTTCCATCATTTACGTAATGAGAAACCTTTCCTTGCGCAAGGTCCTATTTCAAATAAGGTAACATTTTTTACTTATTGACCGTGTGTTGAATAATGTTTTGTTGTGATCTCTGGATGCTATAGTGTCAACCAAGAATATATATATATATATTGGAGTTGCTTAATGGTTATGGCCTTATAGGGCCATCTGCCAAACATATAGGTATATAAATTAAAGTTTTTCCTCAATTTAATTCTTTTTGTGACTAAATTTTTTGCACTTCAGTCCTGTTACCTACATTTTAATATTTTCTTTTCATAATACTTTGACATGGGATGAGGGGGATGCATGAAAAGCTGTTAGTAAAAATTAATCTACAACATAAAACTGGTAGGAAAGTCTTTTATGTATATTTCATTTTGTCTCAGTTTTAACCTTCTGATTTTCTGGTAATTAGAAGAGGAAGGAGTTCTTCTGTAGAATTATCCAATATTAGGATAGGCATACACTCAGATGTTTGAACTTAATTTTTCTTCTATGAATTATTATAAACAGCTTAAATATAACATGGCTTAGGCAGTGTCTTTTATTGTTTCTGCCATTATTTTTGCTTGGATTTGCAAAAAAATATATTAATTTTGCTAAAGTTGAGTTATATTAAGTTGTACTTGTCCAACTTTTGTTTCAGATTATCTACTCCAGTTACAGTTGCACTCAGGGTTGGTTTCTCACACCTTGCATGAGTGATCCAAGTTTAAGGTTAGATATTATGATAGTTGTTTATGTGTATATCTATCCATGCTTTGTTGGGATGTGTGTCTGTGTCTGTATAATAAGCACTTGTTGGGTTTGACTATTGCATAAACAGTATAGGCCTTGGCGCTTAGGCAAGGCACAAGAAATGAACTGCTTTTTATGTAACAGTCAGCTAGCTAAAATTTGATTCTCACAAAGACAGACAGTGATGAAAAAAGGGAACCTTGTCTGATGATTGAACCGGTTCAGCTGGAAATCAGTGGTCCAGTTTATCTCCAAGAATTGGTAAACCGATGAATCGGTAGGAATCCTGGTCGACCAGTAAAAAAACTGGGATTATACTACTAACTATTTTGTTTGGTTGAGAAGAAGCATTCCATGAATTATGGAAGAAGAGCCTCTATTTCTTGTTAATTGCCTTTTGGAATAAACGAACTTCCTTTTTGATGTGAATATATTTAAAATATATTTCTAAATGCAGGGGACTCAAGAATATTTTAAGGATATATATAAAAAAGGTCAGGTGCTCAGAGTGGGAGCAGATACCTGTCCCTAAAAGGTACATTTCGAAGTATTTACCTCTACCATGTGATACATGACCATCTTGATTTTTCTAGGATCTGGCAGTCAGTCTTGTTACTTTTTAACTGTTAGCTTTCATGATTCTTATGTAACCTTATAATGTTTTTAAGATATATTTACATCTGTAGTATTTCTTTTATTGAACCATATGCTTGACAAGCTATGTTGCCAAATTTACAATGAAAAGCATTTCCTCCCTAAATGGCTTACGATTTAATCACTCTCTAATATTATGCTACTTTATTTTAGTGTGAGGGCAATTGTTGCTTTAAATCTTCATAATTATGGAAGTGGGCGAAATCCATGGGGTAACCTAAAACCAGATTATTTGGAGAAGGTATGATGCATTTCAAGTTGTCTAATTTTTCTTTCAGCATATTGAATGTCTGTTCAAGTTAAAACTTGGTCACAAGGAATTGCTGATATTGTGTGGGCGGGAGGGGGGGCAGTGAGAAAGGGGGAACACTGTTCTGCCAATCGATATTGCAAAACGAGAAAAAGAGAAGAGAGTATTCAAATGTTTCTTTCATAATTTTCCATTTGGATGATATGAATTCCAAGGGGAATAAATGAAATGAGCATTTAACTTTTGGTTAGATGCAATAACATAAATTTAGCCTTTAGATCTGTGCGGTTGGCTTTGTTCCTTGATTATGTAAATTTATTTGCTTTATTATGGCTCGTGCTTATGATGTTAGATCAATATCTTAGCTATGATTGTTAGTTGGATGTCAGTCTGTCTTTATGTGTAAAGTTGAGCTTGTTGACAGCATTGATCGAATTCCATGTTTAAACTGTTTTCCTTCAATTTCCTTTATCCGTGTTCCAGAGAGGCTTTGTTGAGGCCCATGCCGATGATGGTCTCCTAGAAATTTTCGGCTTAAAGCAAGGATGGCATGCATCGTTTGTAATGGTTGAACTCATAACTGCTAAACATATTGCTCAGGTAGTGTAACTTGTAATTTCCATCCTAACAAATTGAAGGTTGGTTAAACAGTCATGGTGTTCACAGATGTTTTTTGTATGCCCCAATCATTTTGCACTGTTTCTTACGAGGATGGTTCCTAGTGTGTTCTGAAAATGCGGTATGTTCTGCAGGCTTCATCAATTAGACTGGAGATTAGGGGTGGAGAGTGGAAAGATGTATTTATGCAGATGGATGGGGAACCGTGGAAACAGCCGATGAGTCGGGAGCATTCGACATTTGTAGAAATTAAGAGGGTGCCTTACCAGTCATTAATGATCAGCAAAGAGAGATTGGCGAATCCGTAAGCCGGCATCAATGTAGAGCGTGTACATTATATTTGTTTTCCCCCGGTGCCAAGGGAACATTGGCACTGAGAAAGAGACAAATACCGAATCTGTTGTATCAAATTCATTTGCAGAGTCGATGACTTATTTATTGCATAAATATATAATATTGTCGCCACAGTTTAGGCCTTATTGGTATAATTAGACTGGACTTTAATCAAAGTTCTGGAAAGAAGTCGGACCATCTGTTGAAAAGAGTAGGGCATGTTGCTTGTAAAAATTCACAAATTTGATCGGATGCGGTTCATATCCAATCATTGAAAGCAATTGTCATCATTCATGGGTACGATTAGACGTGCATGTCACATGCTACTTTAAGTTAATGGAAATTGGTCTTCATAGCTAATTTGCATTGGGTGTCTCTAAAAGAATAAAAAAATCTATCATTTTAAAGATTTTTTTCCCATTACTTGTTAAAATTTTATAAAACGACAGCAAAGGGCAACAGTTCCGAAAAGAAACCCGGTACGTGCGTGCAGCATGGAACTCAATCATAGAGGTTTTGGATAAAAGCTGAGGTGGCAATAGAGGCTTGGTTTAGTTTATTTTATGTTAGTGGGCGTGTCATTACATTAGCACCAATAAAGAAGAAAGAAGCACATCAAATAAAGTTTTCTTTTTTTATTTTGAATATTTTTATAGCATCGTGTTATAATAATATAAAGATATTATCTTCTAAAAACATCTTATGTTCTAAAAAAAGGTTAAAGACGTGTCTTAATCAAATAATATTCATACAAGTTTTGATTATTTAACTTTTGATTGGATGAGTTAACATAAATGAAGTAGGTGGTCTCATGTGTACCAAACCCTTATTTGGCTAGATAATGAAATCAGTTTGATTGAAAATGGTTCAAATCCAATTAACGTTCATGAATCGTGCGGCGGGAAATTCGTTTATGTTTATTTATTTATTAAATAAACGAACATGAACAAGATTTTGCATTCGTTTAATTAAATAAATGAACACGAACATAGGGCTCGTTCGTTCATTTACGTTCGTGAACGTTCGATTATATGTTGTTTATATTCGTTCATTTATGTTCGAACAGAGGGCAAGTTTAATATGTTACGAAGATTATTGAAGTTGTTTGGATTTCAAGAAGATTGTTTTGTTGAACAAATTAACTTTAAGACTTTATTATGTTCATATAGCTTATTTATGATTTATGTATATTTTTTTCGTATTCGAACAAATTAACTCTAAAGTTACAGGTTATATTAAAGAATTTTAAGTTGTTATTCTTGTTGTTTACTTTTTTTTACATTCATTTGTTGTGTTCGAATAAGTTTGCTTTTTGTGTTTGTGTTGTTCGTTTATGTTCATTTATTATGTTCGTTTATGTTCGTTCGTTTGTGTTCGTTTACATTCGTTTATCATTTAAATGAACGGACATGAACAAACTATATTACTTAATGAACGAACATGAACAAAAAAAATTTTTGTATGTTCGTTTATTTATTAAATGAACGAACATGAACATAAATCCGTTCGTGTTCGTTCGGTTCGTTTACATGCCTACCATGAATGATCAACCTTCACGGGCACTGTTAGACGTGCATGGCACGTGCTCCTTTCAAGTAATAGAGAAATTGATCATTACTGGAAACGATAGTTAATTTGCTCACGGATCTCTCTTAAAGAGGAAAAGATCCATCATCTTTCCCGTGCAATTTTTTCTACTTCATTCTTCTCAAACGTTTTGGATTCTTGAAACTAAAGTCACATCATTGTATTTCTTTTTGTTTATATTTTACTATGTATAGATTCTGATTTAATATATTTTCATTTAAGTTTTATTATAAGTAGATCATATTCAAATAAATTTCAATCTTTAATTCGGTCGTGTTTTGTAATTATACTTATATTTTTAAAAAAAATGAGATAAAGAAATAGATTTTAATTATTGTATAATATAATTTAATGAATATATATAAATAAATATATAATATTTTTTCAACCGTTTGTTTATTAAATATTTGTTTATAATATTAATTTTAAGAATATATATATATATATATATTCATAATACAATAAAAGCAAATTCTACAATCAACGTCATCATCATTTTTCAGGGTTTTCTTTATATTGTTGCCTTTAATAATTCAAAACCTAATCTCTTTTGGAAACGACACCATTTTCCCAGCATCATCAAACAAGTAGTCGTTAAACGGTTGGTGATTACTTGATTTAATTATTCTTCAGTTGTGTATTATCCCCCACCGTCTCTCCTTTTATTTAATCATGTTTAAATTCTAAAAATAAATTATGAAACCAATAATCATAAATGATTTATAGTTGTCGATAGTGACAAAGTCAGAATCAGATAATGAAAGAAAAAATCAACTAATTTTGAAAGTTAATATATATCTAATAAGATTATTTTATTCAATACTTTTGACATATATAGTTTATGTAAATCAAATATTAAATTTGATATTTTTTATAAAAAAAATATGGAATATAGTATCATAAAATTATTATGGTAGTATGTATGTATAAATAAATAAAGGCTAAGAGGTAAAGGGGTTAGAAAATTGGGAAAAATTATAGAGAAAATGTGAATCGTGGCATTGGTCGTGGATCCATCAGCCACCAAACAACTTTATTAAGGTGTTAGGTTGCTGGGTGCTTTCAAGTTCTCTGTTGTTTGCTCTTTTCTTTTATGTATTTGAGGGTTGTGGACATTAATTTTATTGTGCTTTGGGGTTTTATTACCTGTGGGTCTTAATTAACCTCTATCGGGATTAATCCAAATTCTTTAATTAATTATTCTTTTAAGCGGGACTTTTCTCTTCTTATTAGTATCCCTCTTTAAGGGTTCTCAATAGGTCCCCCAACTTTATATTCTATTTATTAAATTATGAATCATTATGCCCTTATTACGCTTTTTTCGACTTAATCAAGATATACTTCTCTTATATATCTATGCTTAGATTCTTAATGAAATTTTTCTTTATATAATTAATATACTAGTCATCTCTTTATATGGCTTCCATATCAAATTAATTTCTTATATTTTTTATGGAATACACATAAATTATTTATTTTATCACCTCAAATCTCTAAATCGAAAGATAATGTGCACTCCAAATTAAATCATAGACCCATATATCTATTTAAAAAAATGAATGCCACAATATAAGATCGTCATATTTTCATCCACATATGAATTTTGTTTTTTTAGGTGGATGAAGTAAGGATTAAATTACGAGGAAAATTAAGTTCCTAACTTAAGGAATCTAGTGTCTCATCCCATTAAATCAACTTATGTTGGTAAATGTAATTAAACTATTAAAATTAACATCATATGAGACGGTCTTAATTTTAGGTAACTTTAGATTCCCACATTATCCACTCAAGCAACATAGAATTACTTAAATTTATAAGTGTGTATGATGAGTACATTAACTCACTGTAATATTGCTGGCCCCATGATTTAAATCTCTTGCACTTAGTGCACTCAAAGTAAACTTATCCAATGCTGTCTTCTACTATGTGTTAATTAATTAATCATGTTTAATGAACCAGCAAGAGAAATAAGAGAAGAGCCCCAAAGCAATCATGGTTTTTTTGGTGGCACTCCCACTTCAATTAATTACTACCAAGGTTCCATGAAACATAAGAGGAAATTCCATGCTTAATCCAATGTATACAAATACTATATAATTAATTTGATTCCATTTGTAATAACTAATAAATTAGTGAGCTTATCTCTTGAGCTAACGCAAGCGAATCAATGTGCGTTCATGCAAATTAAAATTACATTCTTTTCCATCATCTTGTCCAAGGAATTAAGATCAATCAATCAACTCTCAACTTAAAAGGTAAACTTTTATCTATGTAGATAATTTCTAAGTAAATGGTTAAATTTTTTTGATTGATACATTCTCTTCTCCTTTAGGGTTAGTCTCACTTCGATCTTATTAGTTTGGGGTGAACACAAGAAGTAATATTTGTTCAAAGACATTAATCATTTGACAATAAACGCTCATATCTCTACATTCAAAGTGCTCGAACCCGAAATCTTAAGGGGTAACAACAATGTATTAACCACCAAGATAAATTGATTCATGTGTCTCACTTTATTTTTTTGCTATTTAGATTAAAATATAAGTATTCAATATTACAGTAAAAGAATATTTTAGAAAAAATAAAATATTTATTTTAAACATAATGTTATAAAGTATGTATTTAAATTATATTTATTAAGAGAGATATTGTTGTAAATGTAGCACGTCAACTGGCGTCCTCGCAGCTTGATATGTTTATTATTGGATTCCATATGGTAAAAGTTCGATCATTATTTCAGGTCCGTCGACACATTCGTTTCATCGCTATCAGTTGATCCCCTAATATTATTCCACATGTATTAGCTCATTTTGTTTTATCTATTTCTTATGTCTATGATCCGCCTACTTATATCTCAAAATCTCAATAATCAATATCGATATATTGTTTCAATTTTAATACAATTAAATTAATTCCCTCTCTAATACTCTGATTTAACTTATGAATGGATTGAATTTACCATTAACCATTCCATTTAATACCCTAATTAAGGTGCGTAGCAACTTTTTTATTTTCTTGTAGAGATAAAAACAAGTTTACAAACATTTTTGCAAAATAAGAATGATTTATAGCTCAAGTGTGATATCTTTTTTCCCATATTTCAAATCGATGATATCATGACAGTGAAAATGAAAAAAAAAACATGACAAGACATAAAATAAGTAAAATATTCCAACCTTGGAGGCGTTTTTCCCGATATATCACCTATATATTATATATTTCCCTATTAGACACCTTTCAGATTATTTTTCTCGATCTAACATCTTTTACAGTAAGACGCGCCCCCTGCAGCGTGCTTTACGCTGATATGACGTCACGTGGGGTAAGACGCACCTCATGCAGCGCGCTTTATGCTGAGTTGGATACACGTGGCTATAGCGCGGCCCCTGGGGCGCGTCTTACTCCACGTAGGGCTATAGCGTGGTGCAGGGGCCGTGCTTTTCAATTATCACATGCTCAATTATCAGACATGCATAATGCAAGGCACTGCAGGACCGCGCCTTGCATAATTTACCGAATTTCTCGGCTTTA